TAGTGTGGAAGGGGGATGTTAGTGTGGAAGGGGGATGCTAGTGTGGAAGGAGAATGTTAGTGTGGAAGGGGGATGTTAGTGTGGAAGGGGGATGTTACTGTCAAAGAGGGTGTTAGTGTGGAAGGGGGATGTTAGTGTGGAAAGGTGATGCTAGTGTGGAAAGGGGATGTTAGTGTGGAAAAGGGATGCTACTGTCAAAGAGGGTGTTAGTGTGGAAAAGGGATGCTACTGTCAAAGAGGGTGTTAGTGTGGAAGGGGGATGCTAGTGTGGAATGGGATGTTAGTATGGAAGGGGATGTTAGTGTGGAAGGGGGTATTAGTGTGGAAGGGGGATGTTACTGTCAAACAGGGTGTTAGTGTGGAAGGGTGATGCTAGTGTGGAAGGGGGATGTTAGTGTGGAAGGGGATGTTAGTGTGGAAGGGGGATGTTAGTGTGGAAGGGGATGTTAGTGTGGAAGGGGATGTTAGTGTGGAAGGGGGATGTTAGTGTAGAAGGGAATGTTAGTGTGGAAGGGGGATGTTAGTGTGGAAGTGGGATGATAGTGTGAAAGGGGGATGTTAGTGTTAAATGGGATGTTAGTGTGGAAGGGGGATGTTGTTATGTTAGTATGGAAGGGGGATGCTAGTGTGGAATGGGATGTTAGTGTGGAAGGGAATGTTAGTGTGGAAGGGAATGTTAGTGTGGAAGGGTGATGCTAGTGTGGAAGGGGGATGCTAGTGTGGAAGGGGGATGCTAGTGTGGAAGGGGGATGTTAGTGTGGAAGGGGATGCTAGTGTGGAAGGGGGATGTTAGTGTGGAAGGGAATGTAAGGGGGATGCTAGTGTGGAAGGGGGATGTCAGTGTGGAAGGGGGATGCTAGTGTGGAAGGAGAATGTTAGTGTGGAAGGGGGATGTTAGTGTGGAAGGGGGATGTTGTTATGTTAGTATGGAAGGGGGATGCTAGTGTGGAATGGGATGTTAGTGTGGAAGGGAATGTTAGTGTGGAAGGGAATGTTAGTGTGGAAGGGTGATGCTAGTGTGGAAGGGGGATGTTAGTGTGGAAGGGGATTCTAGTGTGGAAGGGTGATGTTAGTGTGGAAGGGGGATGCTAGTGTGGAAGGGGGATGTTAGTGTGGAAGGGGGATGCTAGTGTGGAAGGAGAATGTTAGTGTGGAAGGGGGATGTTAGTGTGGAAGGGGGATGTTACTGTCAAAGAGGGTGTTAGTGTGGAAGGGGGATGTTAGTGTGGAAAGGTGATGCTAGTGTGGAAAGGGGATGTTAGTGTGGAAAAGGGATGCTACTGTCAAAGAGGGTGTTAGTGTGGAAAAGGGATGCTACTGTCAAAGAGGGTGTTAGTGTGGAAGGGGGATGCTAGTGTGGAATGGGATGTTAGTATGGAAGGGGATGTTAGTGTGGAAGGGGGTATTAGTGTGGAAGGGGGATGTTACTGTCAAACAGGGTGTTAGTGTGGAAGGGTGATGCTAGTGTGGAAGGGGGATGTTAGTGTGGAAGGGGATGTTAGTGTGGAAGGGGGATGCTAGTGTGGAAGGGGGATGTTAGTGTGGAAGGGGATGTTAGTGTGGAAGGGAATGTTAGTGTGGAAGTGGGATGTTAGTGTGAAAGGGGGATGTTAGTGTTAAATGGGATGTTAGTGTGGAAGGGGGATGTTGTTATGTTAGTATGGAAGGGGGATGCTAGTGTGGAATGGGATGTTAGTGTGGAAGGGAATGTTAGTGTGGAAGGGAATGTTAGTGTGGAAGGGTGATGCTAGTGTGGAAGGGGGATGCTAGTGTGGAAGGGGGATGCTAGTGTGGAAGGGGGATGTTAGTGTGGAAGGGGATTCTAGTGTGGAAGGGTGATGCTAGTGTGGAAGGGGGATGTTAGTGTAGAAGGGAATGTTAGTGTGGAAGGGGGATGTTAGTGTGGAAGTGGGATGTTAGTGTGAAAGGGGGATGCTAGTGTGGAAGGGGATGTTAGTGTGGAAGGGGAATGTTAGTGTAGAAGGGAATGTTAGTGTGGAAGGGGGATGTTAGTGTGGAAGTGGGATGTTAGTGTGAAAGGGGGATGCTAGTGTGGAAGGGTGATGCTAGTGTGGAAGGGGATGTTAGTGTTAAATGGGATGTTAGTGTGGAAGGGGGATGTTGTTATGTTAGTATGGAAGGGGGATGCTAGTGTGGAATGGGATGTTAGTGTGGAAGGGAATGTTAGTGTGGAAGGGAATGTTAGTGTGGAAGGGTGATGCTAGTGTGGAAGGGGGATGTTAGTGTGGAAGGGGGATGTTAGTGTGGAAGGGGGATGTTAGTGTAGAAGGGAATGTTAGTGTGGAAGGGGGATGTTAGTGTGGAAGGGGGATGTTAGTGTGAAAGGGGGATGCTAGTGTGGAAGGGTGATGCTAGTGTGGAAGGGGATGTTAGTGTTAAATGGGATGTTAGTGTGGAAGGGGGATGTTGTTATGTTAGTATGGAAGGGGGATGCTAGTGTGGAATGGGATGTTAGTGTGGAAGGGAATGTTAGTGTGGAAGGGAATGTTAGTGTGGAAGGGTGATGCTAGTGTGGAAGGGGGATGTTAGTGTGGAAGGGGATGTTAGTGTGGAAGGAGGATGTTAGTGTGGAAGGGAATGTTAGTGTGGAAGGGTGATGCTAGTGTGGAAGGGGGATGTTAGTGTGGATGGGGGATGTTAGTGTTGAAGGAGAATTCTTGTGTGGAAAAGGGTTTTATTGTGGAAGAGGGATATTAGTGTGAAAGGGGGATGTTAGTGTGGAAGGGGATGCTAGTGTGGAAGGGTGATGCTAGTGTGGATGGGGGATGTTAGTGTTGAAGGAGAATTCTTGTGTGGAAAAGGGTTTTATTGTGGAAGAGGGATATTAGTGTGAAAGGGGGATGTTAGTGTGGAAGGAGAATGCTTGTGTAGAAAGGGGTATTATTGTGGAAGGGGGTGCTACAGAGGAATGGGAGTGTTACTGTTGAAAGAGGATGTTAGTATGGAAAGAGGATGCTTGTTTGGGTGGAAGGAGGATGCTTGTGTGGGTGGAAGGAGGATGCTAATGTGGAAGGGGGATGCTTATATAGTATTAAGGTCAAAAAGGTCATTTATAAATATGTTAACTAAATCTGTAAAAAAAAAGATAATGGAAGAAATACCATAAATCAGTAAATTAGCTGTTTAGTGTCTTTAACATTTTTTGATGGTGTTTACAGTTTCATTAAGTTAGTAAAATAAGTTTAAACTTTACAATTTCATTGATTGAAATAAATTGAAAAGTTTAAAACATAATCCACCGGTTCAAGTAACCAATATTTAGACTGGATTTGATTCGTGCCATGAGATCTACTATAAATACTATTTCTATCGGTGTAAGATTTTGATCTCGTGAAAGTGACTTTATGACAATTAGAAATTATCCTGAAATAAAGGGCAATCAAACAGGTACAGTGATCAATTTACATGTGAGTCCAGGGTCATGTACTTAAAACAATTGTGAGGGCACTTGAAATATTTCAGGAAATACTTAAATTTGATGTTATAGGGACTCATTGGTTTTAGCAATAAAGTTGAAAAAGACTTTAATACAGAAGAGTGATATAATATTTGTAACACAGGAGAGTGATATGAAATTTATTTTTGTACTGAATGTATAAGTGTGCTTGTTTCTGGACATTGGGTTTTGTTGGAAAGATATGAAATGCTGTACCTGCATTAAAATCTAAAGTTACAATGTACATTATTTGCCCAAAATGTTTGCAACAGACAGATTTAATTTCTGAAGGGTAATTAATTGTTAATATATCCTGATTTAAATATCTAGTCTTCCAACTGGTGATGGTGTCAGGTTGAATGGGATTCATATTCTTCGTGTCTTGGTAAGAAGACATTTCAGTGTGATCGCACTATACAATTGTCCATACGTAACATATAATCACTCATGCATTGACAATGTCTTCATATGTTGCTACCATAAAAAATTTCAAAGAGGCATATAGTTGCCACTTAGTCCTTCTTTTGGTTTGTCAGTCCATCTTCTTCCTGTTCGTTCCTACATGTCCAGAACATAACTTTTCTTACAGTTAAGCAAGGGTCATGAAATTTTTGTATACTGTGGTCAGTCTGATGTACAGTATGCTAAATTCAGGGCCCGCAACTCTTTAATATCACAGTTATTGCCCTTTGTTAAAAATTCATTTGAACATTTTTGCTTCATATAAAATAGGATTATCAAACTAGGTGTTTATTACCATTATTATGCTAAAATGATGTCCAGTGTTCCAAATTCAGGGCCTTTGACCTTTGTTAAAATTTTGTGACCAGAGCATATCTTTGTTTTCATATAAACTAGAATAATGAGACAGTTGTATCTATTTTGGTCATACGAACAAGATGTGCCGTGTTCCAAATTCAGGGCCTGCAACTGCTCAATTACTGAGTTATTGCCTTTCGTTAAAATTTCATGTCTGCAACATACTTTTGCTTTGCTTTGACTTTTGGCGTAAACTTTAGTCATACTAAGACAATGTGCAGTGTAATAAATTCAAGGCTCGCAATATAACCCCTTAATGACAGAGGTATTGCCCAACATAACCCCTTGTGTCTATTAAATTTGTTTTTGTGGAGCATTCTGTGGCTTTACTGATACTCGTGTTTGATTTAGGATATTGGAAACAGTTAATCCAATCTGTTAATGAAGAAGAAAGTGATTGTTATCGGGTGTATAATGTTACTGGTAATTGGTTATTTGATGAGTGAGAGCAGTAAGGCTAACATACATTAGATATGTATGTGTGATTTCTAAGCTTCACAGACTTTGTTTTACCGATCCTATCAATATAATCATTGATACATCTATCTACAGATAAACTGGACCAAGAGTCTGGAGTGCAAAAATGGATTTTGCTGTGGTGATGTTGTGACGACAGTGTTATCATTCATGGTAGTTGTACAGTGCTAGCTGCTGCATCTGTTTACTACGATGTTGTGGCCGTGTCTAGTCAGTCAAAAGCTTTAAAAGTCAATACACTGAAAACATGGATGCTTCCATGAATGCCAAACATGGTGAGGATGTTGATTCACTTAATCATGAAACGTGCGGCTGGGGTCCATTCCGGCCAAGATGTTGTCAGCGGTTCCGAAGTCCTCGCTATTTACTTCTGTGCCTTTGTGGAGCTTCCTTTATACAGGTATGTAATGCCATGTTATATAATTAATGTTTTGTAAAAAAAATTTCATCCATGCAGTCCAGATACAGTATATAGAATGTACAGTAATCCTTGTCCTTTGTAGTATTTGTACATGTAAAAGATGTTAAAACTTCAGAATTTTCGTGAAACAAGCTTTTTTGCACGAGCTGTTATTGATTCACCTCAAAAGGCAATGTAAAAATAACATGAAAGTCACTGTTTCAGGTTTAGACATACACTGGTGTCTGCTATAAGATTTGTGTTATTTGATTGTGCAGCCTTGGGCCTCAAGTCTACAGAAGCTAATTAGATTGATCTGAAGGTTTGACTTGATTTATAGATGGCTATGTTTTAATTAGGTGGACTGTCTATATATATCACTCTAATCTCTGAAATTTACACTTAGATTGTTCACAAATTAATGCCTTTTTATACCGGTAAAGACAAGCTAACAGAAAAATGCACTGAAATCACAAGTGTGCGTTTAAATTTTGAATCGCTAGTCTGGATCTGTTGCAATTTTCTCTCTTTATAAAGTAATTTAAAAAAATTTCAAGTTTTCTTTTGAGAGATTTTTTTGTCTCAATCGGAGCATTTTAGGTGTCAGGAGCAGATGTTTACAAATCGTTGCTACCTTAATGTTGACGCCCGTTGCGGAACATAGAATTGTAAGAATTACTCTTCAGTGAATTTTCGGAGTCACATAAGGGTGACTCACTCAAACTCTAAAAGAACCTCTATATTTCTTAGTAGTTGGACTCATAAAAATTTTGGAAATGATGTTATTGAATGGCTTAAAAATTCCTACAGAAATTACTGACTACTATATATATCTATCTGTTGACATCAGGCAATATTAGATATCATAATTTTTCATATTAATCTAAAGTGATAATATATTATCTTCACTACACCCGTACTTTGTGATCTGTGCATTGCTATAGCCATTTTATGTGAAGGGTTTCCATGGTGCAAAATTACATATATGTGACATTCATGTAGGTAAAGTCTAACATGCATGAATGAATTTTAGCTTACCTGGTCCAAAGGACTGGTGAGCTTATGCCAAGGCACTGCGTCCAGCATCTGTATTAGGTCAATAGCTGCTAGTCATAAACAGCTGAAATGGTTGAAATAAAGCAATTGTTTTTTAAATCATACTCCTCCTGCAGGATTGATTGGATTTTGCCCGGATTTAGTCTGAAACATTCTTGGGTGAATGAGAATCAACTTTGTATAAATGGTGGGTCATTGTACCCTTGCAGGGGAGGGGGAGGGGCAGGGCCAAAAATAGGGAAATAAAGCAAATTCTTTAAAATCCCTCACCTTTTGTAGGAATGATTGGATTTTGACCAAAGTTGGGTCTGAAGCATTTTTGGGGTCATGATGAAGGGATATTTCTTATGTATAAACAATGGATATCAACCTCTTTGGACAGGATGGGAAGGGCACAATAGGGGAAAGAATTTTTTTTTATATAAAAGCATTCTTCTTCTCATGGAATGTTTAGGTTTTTTCCCAATTTGGCCTAAGACATACTTGGGTAAAAGCGAACAGTTTTGTTTAACGGTGGGTCTCTTCTTCCTGGAGCAAGAGGCATGGGGCTCATTAAGGGAAATAGTGCAAATTCTATAAAATTCTCCTTTTTTCAAATAATTCAATTTTGCCCAAATTTGATCTGAAGCATCCTTGGGGGATGATAACTTTGTTTTGTATAAACATTGCATATGACCCCTCTAAAAGCAGAGGAGATGGGCCATCTAGGGAGAAAAAAGATACTTTTCCTTTATTTGAAATGAAGCAATTTCAGTAAACTAAACCAGGTGAACGATACATGCTCTGTAGATACCAAAATGAGACATATTTAACGTACATGTCTTAATCTCCAATGACAATATTCGTATAACACAGTTTTTGGCTCCATTTCCATTGTGATCAAATAATTGCCAGATAATTTGTTCACTGATGTGAATGACGTTAGGTTTTTTAACCAGTTTTATTTGGTTATCAGTCTTTTGGTAATGGTAACCATATGTATAAACAGCTATTACTCTTCGGACAACATACTTTACAATTTGTATGTCCCTGTTCAGAATTTGCTGTAAATACAGCAAAAATTACATGTAACAGATGAAGTCTATCCTGTTGTATTGATGAAATGTTGATCTGAAATGTATTTGGAAAACTGTTGATAATATCATCCTTTCTATCTATTAGAATGATTCCTTTTGAAATATAGGTAATTTCATTAACTGATGTGTATAGCTACCTGATATGTTTCATTGTATATAACATCCTAGTGGTAATTGACAACTCTACAACACCCGAGACACAATGTAAGAAAGAGAGCCAAAGATTTGTTATACAAATTATGGATGATATACTACAAGTCTATTAGTGTGATGAAAATAGTCACTTTGATATTCAAACCCAGAACCAAGGCGCTCAAACGGAATGAGTCATCTGGTTACAACTCAATCCAATTCTTCTGCATTCTTGTGTCCTTCAGAAAGGTCTTTGATCCAGAAGATGATTTGATGTCAAAAGCTGTAGGGAAAGAATAAAAACTGATCAGATCTCAGAAGACATGGACTAATGACCTTTAAATATTTTCCAAAACACAATTTATCTGATTGAAAAGGGATCATTTTTTGTCTAATTCTAAACTGCTGATAATATCTTCCAGTTCTTTGGTGAAACATTGGCTCAAAACCAACGTACATGTATATATTGAAAATACGAATTTACTCTCAGAGCCTTTGAAGTGTGTTATATAGAGACAACAGAACAAGACTTCACAGAGTTTTGGTCACTAGAATGAGTTCACAGGTCAGAGTTTGAATCTTCATCTGGTCACATTTTTTTTTATTTGAAATTTAATCTATTAATGAACATCGTAGTGTAATTGGCCTGCATATATACCACCTAACCTCATATGAAGATCAGAGGTACATGGTTGGACACTCCCTATCTATGGCGGTTTATTTCTCAGGAAGGTGATAAATGGGCAGGTCTGTGCTGTTGTGGTTGTGTCCATGGGTAAAGCATTTTTCACTGGCTTGCATGTGATGGTCCTCTCTTATGTTGTTCAGTGAGGTAGCCAGCAACTACTACAAAGAAACCCCACCTGAAATAATTACGACCATGGCTTGTGATTAAGGCACCAAACCTGCCATTCAAACATAATTCATACCAGATATGGATTTGTAAAATCAAGTTAATTACACACTAGGATTAAACACGACTAACTGCCATGGAGAAAGTTTGGCTTAGTCATATTTTTTTTATATATGTGGGACACCATCGTGACCTATGTACATGTTTGGAAATGTGTCTTGTCTTTGGATTTTGTATGATGTAAGACATTGTCATGTCTTCAGCACAGACTTGTTATGTATTATGCATGGCTTGATAGAAATTGAAGGACAAAAGGACTTGATTTCTTGCAGTTTGATGTCTTGTCAGGGTGACATTTCATACACAACAATATTACCTGTATATGGGACCCATCTTAATTCCTTTGGCAGTCATTAAATATTATATATGTTAAAAATTGTACAAACTAACAAATAGGTAAGATATTTCAGATTTAGACTTTTGGATGCTACTGTGTATGAAACACTGTCTATGATTTAATGTTTTAAATTTACTACATGTACATTGAAAGAAGACAATTATTAGCTTGTATCCTGTCCAGACATAGAACTCCCAATCTAGTGCATCAAATTACCTAGCCAAGAAATATTTATTAACTCCCAAACCACTACTCCAATAGTGCTGATTATATACATACACATGTATCAGCTGTCAGTCTAGAAATCATAAGATTTTCTGGGGTTGAGGTGAAACTTGGCATCCCCTATAAATCTTGCTGACCATGACTCATGGCAAGCTGTATTCCAATTACTGACTTACCTAGTGAAATGGTTTGTTTAATTTCATTTCTCCATGAAAATTTCCGTGAATGATGCATATTCTCTTTTGTTGTTGATGTGGAACTCTTGTCTCATCTCTACTTGATTATGTATATGTTCATTTGTCCGTCTGATCATCTGTCTGTTTATCCTGACCTACCCTCCTGTATCTTATCCATTCCTCTATTCTGACCCAGCGTTCTATGCTTTGTCTACAATCATCTGTATTGGCCTAGCCTTCTTTGTCCAGACAAATTATCTGTCTGTATGTACTGACCTGGCCTCTTATATCATGTCTATGTCTGTCTATCCTGATGCAGGAGCTTGTGTCTTTTTCATGTGTCTATCTCTCCTTATCTGGCCTCCTAGTGTTTGTCATATTCATGTATCCTGCCCCAGCCTCCTGTGTTTTATCATGTGTCTATATATCCTGACCTGGCCTCATGTGTCTTACCATCTGTCTATATATCCTGACCTGGCTTCCTGTGTCTTGTCATTCAATCCTTGTATCCTGTCCCGGCCTACTGTGTCTTGTCCATCTGTCCATATATGCTGACCTCACCTTATGTGTCTTACCATCTGTCCATGTATCCTGACCTGGTCTCCTGTGTCTTACCTTCTGTCCATGTATCCTGATCTGGCCTCATGTGTCTTGTCATTCAATCAATGTATCTTGACCTTGCCTCATATGTCTTGTTTATCTGACCTTGTCCTGACATGGCCTCCTGTGTCTTACCTTCTGTCCATGTATCCAGACCTGGCCTCATGTGTCTTGTCATTTAATCAATGTACCTATACCTTGCCTCATATGTCTTGTTTATCTGACCTTGTCCTGACCTGGCCTCCTGTGTCTTACCATCTGTCCATGTCTCCTGACCTGGGGTCCAGTGTCTTACCATCTGTCCATGTATCCTGACCTGACCTTCTGTGTCTTACCGTCTGTCCTTGTATCTTTACCTGGCCTCCTGTGTCTTACTGTCTGTCCATGTCTCCTAACTTCGGGTCCTGTGTCTAACCGTCTGTCCGTGTATCCTGACATGGCCTCCTGTGTCTTACCGTCTGTCCATGTATCCTGACCTGGCCTCC